ATGTACAATATTTTGCTCTCGGTACTCTCRTTGTTCGTTTGTTTGGAGGCTTATGTCTGCTGTGTTGTCAATCCAGTATTGGARGTCTTCTGTGATGASGTGTCACATTTCCATGCCAATCGTTTGTTCAACTTCCCCACTGATTTCAGGAAGCGACCAAAGGGTAAGGCTTTCTGGAATGCATGCTTGAAGCTTTCATTGAATACTGCATAAATAATAACATTGAAAACTCCATTGAAAGTCACTAGTAGCTTGCATGACCATACCTCAAGGAAGCTCTCGGCTGCTTTTCCATAATAGAGGAAAGGAAACACAAAGCCAAGGTAGAATGGAACATATGCAACGTCGAAAGCCACAAAGATGCAGACAATCATCAGAGTAACCTTTTTGGCAACTTTCTCTGTTTGACCACTGACCTTCTGAGCATGTTCCCCAGGAACTTTTCTTGTGCAAAGTGTGTACGCAATTGCCATATATTGGATCAGTATGATCAAATGTGGAAGGACAAAGCCAAGGGACAGCTTTAAAAATGCCTGCAGCGGTGAAGCCTGAGGAATACAATAAAATTTCCCTCCGTTTGAGCAGAAAACAATCTCTCGTAATGCGTAGTGAGTGGCGACTGCAACCGATGTTATCCAGACGCAAGGAATCATGTACTTTGTCGAGGAGGAATGGTGTTGGTACTTGAGAGGACGTGTAACAGCCAGRAATCGATCAAATGTGAGCACCACGAGACTGTATATGGAGCAGAGCATGCAAAGATAGTACAGGGGACATATCATCCTGCAGTAAATGTGTTCTCCAAACASTAAATCTCCTGACCAGCTATTGCCGTTGTAAGCATTATAAAGTGTGATACCGGAAGTGAGGATTGCTGCAAGTGTGTCACCGACTGCCATGTTGACGATGAGGTAGTTGGTCGTTGTATGCATGTGCTTGTTCGCCCTGACCACATGAATGATGAGAGCGTTACATAGAATAGCTAAAATGGTAACACTTATCCAAAAAGCAACACCAATGGCTTTGATGGTGGATGATTTAGGAGATGGTAAGTATTCTAAAATAATAAATGAAAATCATTGTCTTTAAATCAAAAACAATACATATAAATCATAGAGATAAAATATTTGATATCATTTTTGAATTTTTGCATTAGAATGTATGTAGTAAAGTGTAGTTTCAGCAAAGTTACGCAAATTTGAGCCTTCATACACGTATGCTTCTTACCCCCGGTTGTGTTAGTTTCACAGGCCGATCGATCTGTGGTTGTATTGTGAACTTKTGAGCTTCCCAGTCCAGTTGACTGTAAACAAAAGAGCATAGAGACAAACAGCCCTACGATTGAAATTTTTTTCATTGTGTTCGTTATAAACGATATTTTTTAAGAGAAATAGCGGCGTAAATTACAATTGCGCGATGGTCTGTCGACTTCTGAAAATAAATGAACGGTGATATTTAATTTGCTGAACTCAAATGTGTTTAACAGTTTTTTTATTGATATATAATATTTGATTTCAGATATTTCGCTGCGCTTGATTAAAAATGATGATAGCAGTCAAAATTAAAAACACCCTGGTAGGAAAACAAATAACTTGTACAAAAATGAAAGCTGCATYGCAGCAAATGTGTACAAATGATAAATTTGTTTTGCTCTTTCTGTAACAGAAAAAAATTAACTTGGGACTTAAAAGCACATGATAAAATATATATAATAAATTTGTCTTTCTCACATCTTAAGTATCTGAGATTTCTTTAAAATAATAAAAGAAGGGCAGCGAAAAATACATTTTCACGAAGGTGTTGTGAAACTAATTCATCTTTTAAAGTGGCCTCTTTGAAGGACATCAAAACCAAACCAAAGGAAAGCAACCAGAACTGAAGGGGTGGAAAATATTTTCCTTAGATATCTGTGCTTGATGATGACAGTTTTATTTTCTGACTTATTGGTATTACATTACATTACTATAACAATTGTATTTTACAATCAGAACTCCTCTGTCTAAAGCATTCGCTTTATAATACATCTATACTGTGCTCATAGACTAAGCATTTCAATGCTGCATGMCGTTTGTATATATTTATTTCATTTTGCTTCTGCCAATCTTCTCTTTTGGTATTAGGAAAACCTAGATCAATGCTTACAGTTTGCAAAACCAACAAGCTTTCTTAAAAGCCTGCCGAAAGTTTACATTGAAGACAGCATAGATCAAAGCATTGAAAAATCCATTGGAGATCATCAAAGTCTTAGAAATCAACAGATTGTCATATTTAGCCTCTTCTTGGGAATACAGATATGGGAAAATATAACCAAGGAACAATGGACTCCACGATACTTSAAAAGCCACGAGAATACAGATAATCATGCGAGTGACTTTCCTGGCAACTTGCTGTGCATTGGTTTGAGCATTTAAGTTACCAGAGATCTCACCAGGAATTTTTCGTGTGCAGAGCTTGTGGGCAATCGCCACATAGAGAATGAAAATCAYGATGTGAGGAAGGCCAAATCCAAGAAATAGSATTAGAAAGGCATCRAATGGGGATTTATTAGGAATGCAGTAGAAACTGTCAGATTTCGGACAAAATCTGGTATGTCGCACTGTATAGTTGGCTGGTATTGCCAGGGATGCCAACCAAATGGCGGGAATGGTAAACTTTGTCCAGGAAGAATGGTGCTTGTGCTTAAGAGGACGTATGACAGCCATGAATCGATCGAAKGTGATAACAGCAAGGCTATATATGGAACAGATCATACTGATGTAATACAATGACCACCCCAATTTACAATACAAGTATTCTCCAATGAAMCTATTCCCGCTCCATCTTACTCCCGATTGCAGAAATTTCACAGTCCAGATAGCGGTTACAGCCGWTGAAACCAGATCGCTAACTGCCATGTTGACGATAAAATAGTTGGTTGTGGTATGCATGTGCGAGTTGACTCTGACAACGTGAATTATGAGTACATTGCACAAGAAGGCAACCAGAGCTATCACTGATAAGACGACGCTGATGATGGTGTTGTCAATGAAGAACGTCGGAGCGGTTCTTATTGCTAGAATTAAATTGTAACATAAATCATTAAAAACAGAGTTATGAAGACAAATAAACAAGGAAAGCAGCAAAACGAACATAGGTTTTCTAGTCATGGTTTCTCAATCACAAATCAAGTGGAAGATGTTTTCCTATATCCGAAGGAGATAWCTGAGGGCAATGTTTGAAATTGAGAAAGTAAAGGCAGATCTGAATAATAATAACTTCCTTGAAATTATTTGAGACTGTTATTGAAAGAGGGTGAATTTTTAAAGACGAAATTGCAGATTTCTCACCGTTTTCTTGGACGCCTTCACAAGAGCTTGTGGAATTATTTATTGATTTGCCATCTTCGGATCTCGTTTGCAGACACAGAAGAAGAAAAGACAATAAAAGGCTTAAAACTGAAATCTTTTTCATTGTCGTCGTCGTTGGAAAAGCTTTGGCTTTTTGCAATTTCCTATTTGATAACTCCTCGACGATAAGCAAAGAAATGATTTAAATTGAACTTTATGTCGAGTATGTCGGATGTTTAATTTTTACCTTCATAATCAATATCAGTCAATGTATTATTAATGACTGCTCGCGCTTATGATATAATCTCTAAATATACAATCTACTGACGTGAAAAAGATTAATCAAGACGTCACTTCCAATGTTTTAATAATATTTGGTTAATAAAGACGGATATTTGTTTTACTTTGGCATTACTGTTCAGAAAAAAATATTGGTTGATTGTGAATGTCAAATCATCATTGACTATATTTTCTACAGTCAAATTATCAATCAATTTATAGAAGAAATTTTAATTTTAATACCCTATTACCTCCACAGAATAGAAAAATCACAAATACAAAATGATATTGCTATAGTAACAATCATAGAACAAGAGAATCGAAAACTGCTCTTGACAGATACCCTTTGAATTAAAACTAGGAATTCAGAGAGTTTCCAATAAGGTAAAGTAGCTGATTAAAATTAAAACAAAGCCAAAAAAGCACTGAATATTGAAAACTGACTAATTTCACGATAAGCTTTCCTCGAAAATCTGAGATTTCCATAACTTAAAAKGTGGTCTCAGAACCTCTAGATGCTAACATTGTGTATTAGTCAAAACAGGACCATTGAACGTTGACATTTATCAACCCTATTCCGTGTAAAGAACTCAAAAGCGTAGTCTAGATCATAACTATCTCTCAACTATGATTATCTTTTAAGATATGAGCTCAGTTTGAGTGTTTTTGAATTTAAACCAGCTTAAGCTAATGAGCAAAACTTTAAAAGGCAAAGATCCATCTATAGAAGATATTGTGGAGGTATGCCTTTGGTGTTCCACTCAAAGAGCAAAGAGCATTGCAAATTATAAGAAATTGAACTGAATMCAGTCAAGACAGCTTTAAAAACCTAAAAGAACAACGATTTAATCAGAGTGCAATATATGAAGAAGATCAGTAGGAAACTGTGRCGAATCCAAGGTAAATATTCTCTTGTTCCCAGAGGAAATACCCCCTAGAATGCAATCTGTTGACCCTTGGAAATCCAGTTTTTATTTCTTTCCTGGTTAGCTAATCTGCTGGGCAATCGCAATTTCTATCTAGGAAGCAAGCACACAGTCACGTCTTTCATTTTTGAGCAAGGAGCARCCAACTGATATTGAAACTCAAGTAGGGAAGGTAGTGAGAAATAGGACGGTTGTGCAAAAACAAAACCATTAAAACATGATTCTACATATATCGTGATATCATACACTACTATTCTAATTAATTAACCTTTTTTGCATTATTCACAATTGACTATTAGTAAACTTTTTAGCATATTTTCGTATTGTTTACAAACAATTATCTCATTTACTTGTATAGTATGTATAGGTCGTATAATATGTGCGTTCTACAACTTCATTGTCTCTCTACAATGTTTATAATAGGAACTTTTAAAAATGACAAAATACTGACACAAAAACTGACAATAAAAAGAAAACAGAACTGGATTTTCTCATCAGATCTGATCTTGAGCTGGAATTTATTGAAAAAAAAGGCATCGACCAAATTTTTTAATTATTTTTGTAAAGGAATTAAGAATAACGCATGAATTATTTAGTTTATCAGTGTCTTTAGACCTTTCCATTAGAAACCCGATAGATCTATAACTTTTCTTGTTCTTCAGTCTCTGTAGTCGAGGACTGTTCTGGTCTCAATTTGCGTTTGCTATGTCTGGCACCAGACATAAAGGCGTGGAATCCTTTTCGTAGTTTTCTCAAGTGATTCATCAATATCTTGAAGTGCAGTGTTTCCTTGAATGCAACTCTGAAATTGTCATTGAAGATTGCGTAAATCAGGGCGTTGAAACTTCCATTGSATATCATCAGAAGTTTAAAAATAAAAATRCTCAATGCATTGTCATTGATTGTGCCACGGAATAAGAATGGGAAGACRTATCCAATGAACATTGGACTCCACGACAACTCAAATGCCGTGAGAATGCAGATTATCATGTAAGTAACCTTTTTGGCAAGTTTGTTGGCTGTGGATTTGMYGTCAACCTTTTCRMCTTGTTCSCCAGGAACACGTCTTGTGAAGAGCTTGTATGAAATTGCCGCATAGAGAGCTACAATTGCACAGAGGGGWAGACCAAATCCAGAGGTRATGATCAAAATGGCATCGACAGGGGATTGTTGTGTGGCGCAGTAGTAGTACTTTCCATCTTTTCCTGCACAGAAGTSTATTTTTGTCAAAAYGTAGTGAGCTGGTAGTGCCATKGAAGCAAACCAAATAGCTGGAATAGCATACCTTGTCCAGGAAGAATGGTTTTTGTATTTGAGAGGACGTGTGACGGCCATGAAGCGATCAAAAGAGATCACAAGAAGACTGAATATGGAGCAGAGCATGCATACATAATACAATGGACAACCCAGTCTGCAGTAGATATACCTACYAAAGAATTCATTCCCACTCCATGTCGAACCACTTCGAGCACATTTCACTGTCCAAATGGTAATTAAAACCGTTGCAACCAAATCACCAACCGCCATATTGACGATGAGATAGTTGGTGGAACTGTGCATGTGTTTATTAACTCTTACAACATGAATGATTAGAGCATTGCAAAGGACTGACACTGTGGCAATAGCAATCATGATGGCGCAGCCYAAATCATTGCCGAAGTCGAACCTCGTGAGAAAGACATTTTCTGTGAGGMAAAAAGAAAGGGAAATAATGAGCTAGTTAATAAAGGGAGGGTCTTTGCTAATTTTAATTTTAATTTTAATTTATAACTGAAAGAAAAGGACTTCTTTGCTGGCGAAGAAATTTGAGTTAAAGCCATTCTTAATTGCTCAACATGTCATATAAACAAATAACTTACCATCGACATCGCATGTATTCGTTGAATTTTTTTTCTTAATGCCATTTCGCGAATCTTCAGATCTTGACTGTAAGCATAGAACAAAAAGAGCGATGAACAGACCGAAGAGAGACACCTTCTTCATTGTGGCTTTACTGAGACGAACTATGATATGCAGAGCAGCTGGATGATCATGCTGGTTGCTCTCACATATATTGTAAACAATCAACAGCTATATGCTCATCAATTTCAAAATTAAGTCGATCTAATTATTGACTGAGTACATTTGGACCGGATTAAAGTTCAGTAGATTTTGGGGTGAGATAAAACAAAAACAAATACAATATACTAATGTCCACACACATATATATTTCAAAATTCTAAACTTGAAAGATGACTCGATTAATTGGTTTTGAATCTAGCTTATTTAATTTTATTTATTTAATTTTATTTTAATTAAAATTGCTTTTCATCATTTAATTAAATTGAATTTTTCATCAGACCCTTAATTGTAATTGTATATTCCTTTTGGAAGTCTCTGACTGTGTACTCCAAAAATAATTAAAATTAATCAAAGAGGCATATGAAAAACAATGTGTCATGTAATACCACATTTATAGTGTCAGTATAAAGATAAAGTTTTTCCATACACATACAGTACTCATTAGGGATTGGTGATAATGCAATAGTTTGAAAATTGATCTATTATGATCTATTATTATATTTTTACGCTCACT